CAAAAGAAGGCACACCCACTGTATCACAAAAACTAAATGTGCTACTTTTTCCAACAATTTGATGACACCAGGTTGGATCCAAATCCCCAGCACAACAGACCAGTGAATTTTATACCTGAGGACTTTTTCCAGTATCAAAGACTTTGGGTTCCGGCCTAGCTGGCTTTCCTATTTCCTACCCACTCACTGCTGGGGTACCCACCAACAAATACTCCCCTATCTGTGCCATTGCTCTGAAGCAAGCCACCCCCAGAAAACTGATCTGAGTATATAATAGCGCCAAGTCTTGGTGTGGTATTGATGACACATAACTTGCATAAAATCAGTTCAGTATGTGGCTGGACAGAGGCTGGACAGGAGGCATATAGAAGGGAACACAGGAGGGTGAGTATATAAAAGAGCTGGGAGGACACATGAGGAAAATCTCCATGCTGAAGCAGAAGCCACTGAAAAATGTACTGGGCAAGGATTGGAGCAAAGGAGTGTCAACCTGAAGGCAAGAAACACACTTGGACTAACAGCAGCTCGCGAGTCAGGGCAGCGGTTAGAAAGGGTGGCTGAGGCACTAGGGGGCAGAACTCTCAGCTTAAAAAATATTGCAGGAAAGCAAAAGCCTGGAAGGGCCATCCACCAACTGAGGTATGTGATGGAGCCTGAGCAGAGGCCCAGTTCCAGCTATGAGTCTGGACAATCTCACCAATCTCCTTGGTGATTTCTTCAGAAGAGTGAGGCTTCCTGTGCTGGGAAAAAGGATGTGGGAGCTTCTAGGCCACATCCTCAGTCACTGGGGGGTAACCCAGGGACCCCTGTCTCTAGCTGAACCAGCCTAGACAGAATGCAGGCTCATTCCCTCTGCAGGTAGGAGCAGAAGAGTCAAAGCTCTGGAAAAACATTCTACGGTGTCTGGGTTCTTCCTAAGTCCTGGACTGTATGACATGACCTCCATCAGCCTCAGAACTAGCACCTACCACCTGACAAAACCATTCCCTTCTGATCAGACAGTAATCCCCAGGGCTACTCAGACAGCTCAGCGACTTGAGCAGCAGGCAACCGCTGTGCAGCAGGTTTCTGGGGATCGATGGCATTTTAGCAGATGTCTATGGGGCAGGGCTGGGGAGTAAGTGGAGCTGGCACAAGACAGAGGAATCCTAGAGCCCCCTCTCTGGCCCTGCGAACCAGACCAAATCACCCTGATAGGGTTTCAGTCTTACCAGATTAGGGGACTTTGTGCATCTGGTTTTCTTGTTTAAGCAGATGCCCAGTGACTCCTTGAGGCCACCTTAAATTGCAAGATTGGTGATACCTGCTCACAGACTTGTCCTTTCATCGTCTCAGTGTCGTTCCTTTGACTCAGAGTCTCTTTAAGATCTGACATCTCCCTGTCCCTGGCTGCTTAGGATCCATTGTCCTGGCTTCTTCCCAATGTTGAGCTCCAAACCAGCTTTTCTTCTTCCCTGTCAAAACCTTTTCCTCCCAGCTCTTCTAGGAAGGCTTGTGATGTCTCCTCAACTTACGTAATGCCTTGAGCTCAAGAAAAGCCTGACTCACGATGGCACTCCCAATCCCATGAATAGGACGCCTTTTGTGGGGACATGCCTCAGTTACTGGTGTCTCTCCAATGACCTCTGCATGTGACCATCTGCTTTGCCAACAGTAAGGCTGACTTTGCTTATGGAACACAGTGTCATCTTCACTGCTGTATCTGAGCAGAGCAGGCACCCACACCTCCAGGCTAATCCTGAGTTGGTTATAAGGGGGGCAGGGGTGACTTACGTGAACCTCACATGAGGCCTTCTGAGATGAGAGCCCCCTGCAGTGAGTGGGCTTTAATTCAATTTAAAACGCATGTGCTGTATACATGCCCACAGGTGACTCAGGCTGTCTCCACTAACATTTCTCAGGAAAAGGCATTCCACTGAGGGGCAGATTTGGGACACCTTTTCAACCTGCTAACTAGATATGGACCATTCTTTCCTCTTTTGATCTATCTCCTAAGAGAAATCTCTGGTCTCAAGGATAGCAATGCAATTAGATATTCAAGTAACTTGGAATAAATCTTTAAAAACCTATCGCTGAGAATTAAGGGTCCACATTATTCAACTCAAAGTGTGACCAGAAACAACTCTTACACAATGTAAATTTTCCATTTCTTCCTCCAGATGCTCTAATTCTCTCCTCCCAGCTGAATTCAAAGGTGCTGAGGTCCTTTCTTGAGCCTCTTAGCAAAGGAAGCCATAGGGACTGGTCCTGACCTCCAGTTCCAGATAGAGGGCCCCTGGAATGCCACTGGAGGAAGGGTCCCTAGTGCTCCAACTGCCCAGGTAGAGGAGGATCCCACTTGACCCCTGTGGGGACTGAGCCCTAACCCAGAGACACACTCCTCCTGCTAGTCTCCAGGGCTCCCTCACTCCCTGTCCACTGGGGCATTTCCACTTCTGGCCAGGGACAGCTGGAGGGGGGCTCTCTGACTGTCTGAGTCCATGTAAAGCCTGCTCATGAGTGGAAAGGGCATGTGCTGGCCCCACTCCTGGCTGCTGTGGCCTCTTCTTTCCTCTTTCCTATAGGTCTAGGTTCTTTCTGTCCCTCAGGCCCATGTTCACCTCATACCCACTCTTCACAGTCCTTCCTTCATCCTTCCTTCAGTCTTCCTGCTCAAAATGTTACTCTTCTTAGAAGGTCAGCACATTCATGGCTTGAAGTCTCAGAGGAAAGGTAGGAAGTGCCAGTGTGAAATTCCTGGTATTACAGGACTTTGGGAAGGGCTTCTGCATATTGGAGCTTCTTGGGCTCCTCAAAGCCCTGAGCATATGCCTCCCTGGACCTGAGTAAAACTTTTGGGAAAGACCTTTGGCAATCAGTGCCCTGTCCCCTACAATATCTGAGAGAGAGAGAGACTATCCTCTATCAACCCATACTTTAAAACTCCTTTTGTGCCTTTCCTGAGTAAAGTTCTTCCCTAATTCCTTCTTTGCACATGGCCTCTCAACAGACTCCCTAGCTTCCTCTGCCCAGCATCAGGCCCTCTCTTTCTTCACCCCCCTCGCTGATGGTCCCCCCTAGGCTTCCCTAACCCTTTCCACTCTGTGTCAGGGAAGGGGGCTGCTCCCCAACCCCTGCCTAGCCCAGCTGGAGTCTGGTTCTCTGCATGTTTAAAGAGGTTTTGTTCATAGAGTCTCAATTTTAGTTTATGACATTTTGTAGACCTAACCTGATAGCTGATGTCTGACCAGCTTCAGATCCCATCCTGGGTTTCTGTTTATGGGGCTTGAATTCTTTACTTAGCTTTAGTTCCCATTTTTCTCTGGGTTGATTAATTTAGATTAAATCTAGATGAAAACTTCAGTCTTAGATCTAGGCCTTTAGTTTCCCTTCCTCTTCTGCAAGGCCTCTGGTGTCTGACTTTCCCCATTTTGCCAGGGGCACAGCTCATCTTGACCTTAAAGGTCACTAGGCAAGCCAACATGCACAGGGAGCCCTGTGGGCTGCAGAACAGTCAGTCCATGGAAGCTTGCACCCCAAACCCTCATGGTCTGCCAAACCCATAGCATGGGCTTGGCATGTTGGGCCCCAGAGCCATGGAGGAGATGAATAGGAGTGGAGGTGTTGTTAACAAAGAAAAAAGGTGAACCCAAATCTAGCCCATCCCAAGCAGTGTTCTACGCAGCATAGCCCATGGAAACTAAAGGAGGAAGGGGGTGAGGAATGATGACAGGACTGAGTGTCCAGGAATGGCCACCCTCCATGCTGGAGCCTGGCTGAAGTCATCGGCTAAGAGCTACCCCACCTGGAACATTTCCAAGAATCACAGCATTATCAATAACAGCTCCTGGAAAACCTATCCTAACAGGATGGAGCCTCTCTCCGTGATTCATCAAGCACAGAGGCGTCTTCTCTGTATTTGGAGGTGGGGAGGAGGGGGCTCATCTGACAGAATGTGGGGTGACCGAGGGCTGCCTGGATGATCACAGGTCTTCCCTGCCTGGGTCCTAGACCTACTGCACTGGGGCTCCTGCTTGTAAGTTCTTATATTACGCACCCCTTTTCAATCTTGGCAAGCCTGCCTGCTGACTACCCACATTTCCAGTCTGAATAAATGATTGTCTCATTGGGCTACAAAGCAAGAGGATTAAGATATCCTGACATACATTCTCTCTCTCTCTTCACAAAGTGCATCACGACCCTCTCCCCATTCCTTGAGATGGGCACTGGCAGGACATGCTCCTAATTCTCTGAGTCACGCCCCAACTGCAGTTCTACTCCTCTTTCCACTCTCTGGGCTGTAAATATCCTGTATGGCACACCACCTCAGACTAGCAGCACTGGAGGTTTGAGACTCTGGAAGGATGCCCTTGTGGAGGCTGAAAGATAGCAGAAAGGAGAATGGGGAAGAGAAGGAAGAGGAGCTCTCTGAGGGGCCTAAGAAAATGCCTTTGTAAAGACTAGACCTTTCCTTAGGTAGTCATGGGGACATCCTTCTCAAATGTCAGCAATTGGTCCCAACTTCACATTCTGTGCTAGTTCCACGTGGTGACTGTAACTACTACTTAATATTAACATTCTCTTTTAATTTTAATATTTTAACTAAGATTTAATTTAATATTTAAATTTTAATACTATTTATTTTCATTGATTCATTTAAAAATCAAACCCACTTATTTATAAAGAAACATATCTCTGCCACACATAGAAAACTAGTATCATCTGCAATTTTATCAGGCTAAATAAATAAATCTCTATTAAAACCAAAGTGTTCTTCTGTGGACCACATACATCAAATATCTCAAGCCATCTCGCATTTCACAACTGCTACCAGTTATACACTTTCAACCTTAAATGCTGAGGATGGAAGAGACTCTCTCAGAGAGTGTCTTGGCCACCTCTTGCCTTCATCATTTTGGTGTAAATCATGTTCCCAGACTACTCTTTCTGGGCACACGCAGCCTGCCACATGAGTACCCAGGCCCCACCCCCCAGTGTGGAATGGGCTTGGAGTGACTTACAATTCGTGGTTTGAAGGGTGGCTTGATCTTCTTCTGTTCCAGTAGCACCCAGTCAATCTCTTTGAAGAATGGGTGCTGCTTGATGGCATCCTCGCCATTCTGCACAGCCACGCAGCCCAGGCGCTTGTGGGGGTTCTTCGTCATGAACTGCAGGGATGAGAACGTGAGACAGAATCAGTGACAAAGGTCTGGCAGGTGCAGGCTGGGAGGGAAAGACAGGAGTGAGTAAAGGCAATCTTCAGTCTTTGGCATCACCTCCTAAACCAATTCTCTGCACTTTCAGACCTTACCCATTAGGGTAGATTTTAACTCTTATGTAGGATTTTTCATGAGCCAGTCACCATTCTGAACATAGTGTATAGGTGAACACATTTCCTCCTCACCCAACACTGTGGGTAACTTCTCTATTTTATAAGTGAGGTACTTGGGGCACAGAGAAGTTAATTAAACTGGCCATGGCCACACAGCTAGCAAGGTACAAAACTGGAATTAGAAACTCAGGCTCTTATTAACTCTGACCACCTCCCATCCCTCCAGTTTCTTAAGTTTTTTTTTTTTTTGGAGAGGTTTTCGCTATAGGGCACGTGCGCTTGCCAGACAGACAGAGAGAAACACAGAGACAGAATGCGAGAAATCACCCCCCAGAGGGGATGGTCACACCGCAATCCCTTCTCCTCCATTCTCCTCTTGGGATCATGGGCACGCACGCACATGCGCCCGGCATGAGTTTTAAGTCACCGGGTCCGGGACATGAACTGCAGTCGACTACGTGGGAGTCCAGCAACATAGCCATTATGCTAACTGCTGGTTCCCGAGTTTTTTCATCAAGGACACTGAAGTCTGATAAACTCATTTACACTGAGAGGTCCTTTCTATTTTTAAGTTTATTCCATGAGAGAGAGAGAGTAGAAGAGGGAAAGGCAGAACAAGGGGGGGGGGGGAGGAAAGAGACAGGGACTCCCAATAGGGTCTTCACACCATAATCCACCCCAGTATTGGCCGATTGGGATCATGGGCACACTTGAGCTGCATGCAGGGAGACCTTGGGACATAGGCCAGGACCTTCCCATCAGGCTTCGGTATCACAGAGCATTGTGCTACTGCTGTGCCACCACAGCTGCCCGCAGTTCTTTTCACGGTATGAGAAGAGGACCGGGTATTCGTGTAAAGGGAAATCGTCCAATGTATCTCTAGCCCTTTCCTTTTCCTGAATGTAGCCCCTTTCCCATTTCTTAAACATTTGAATTTGTAATCTCTATACAAAATGCCCACATAAGCCAAAAGACAAAACAAAACAAAACAAAACAAAACAAACAAAACAAAACAAACAAGGAAAAAAACAAAACCTTACTGCTATTCGATGCTTGTCTATAAGAAAATCACGTAGATGTGTTTTATATTATCTGGGTGATGTTTTGTGACTACACCCACAGCATACATCCAGATGAACTTATCCCCCCCGCCCCTCCCCCCCCCACACACAGGGCATATATGGTCACAGAGGCAGAGAGAGAGAGAGTGAGAAAGCATTCCGAGGGTGGTCAGTTGTGACCACAATCCCTTCTATTCTCCTTTTGGGATGCTTTTGGGCGTGCATACACATGCGTCTGGTGTGTCTCTCAAGCGGCTTGGTCAGTGACTTGAACTGTGCAGTCGGCCAGGTGGGAATCTAGTTGCCCTAACCACCAAGTCACTGGTTGACCCGATTATTCCCCTTAAAGGAGTTAGTCCTGATGGTAATCATTCATTTAACTGAGCAGACATATGCCAACATAACCTTGAAGAAAAAGTGCTAACAGGTAGCAAGCAATATTTCTGAAAGCTACGCCAAATAAAGGTATGTGTATTATGTGTATATGTGTGTTAGGGCCAAAGTGTTACAATTCTCAGAGGGAAAGCTGGGTCTTTAAAGAAACTTGAGATGAAAAGCTATAATCTGAAGGAATTAATCTATAATGGTAGAATTTCAGGCTTCATCAGTGAGGGAGACTTCTGAGGCAGGGAGAGTTTCCTTCCTTTTCTTGCCTAGTACCCTGAACCCCACATGCATTGACACTGAAGGCTGCTGGAGAGGCAGAGCCACTGATAAGAGTGAAGGGGAGATAAGCAGCCATACTAATGTGTGTCCCCTCTCCGACCTACAAGTCAGCAAGTCACGCCTATTAAACACCTCGAATAGCCCACATGGCACATATGGGTGAGGAGAAAGCCTAGCCTTCTTAATTCAGCATACAGGACCTTCTCAGTTTGAATCCTACCTACCATGCTGGCCTTTTATATCCTTTCTTCTCTCTGGTTCAACATCCCTCTCTAGACTTGACGCATCCTCTAAGAATTAAAATGCTGCCTCCTCAACACTTCTATCTCCAGCTCCCTGGCCTAAGGGACACTGAGGCAGGGCACCCTAGCCCTAGCCCCAGCTCCAGCTCCAGCTTCCCCAACCCCAGAGACTCTTTCGCTGTTAGCAAGGAAGGATTTTTTTTTTTATCGTCTCTTCTTTCTTTTGTTAATTTCTCACTTCTCCTTACCCCCAGGGGACTGCAGCCAGCTATCCAGGAGAGCCCACTTCCATCTCCAGCCCCCGGTGACATTTCTTTATTTTCTTTCATACTCTTTTCTCTTCCATCTTATATTGTTATCTCCTGCTTATGCTCCATGCACCAAGAGGGGCTATACAGGTCTAGAATCACAGTTTTCAAATACCCTGGTATTGTGAGGCTCCCAGGGATCCTCCCTTTTGTTTAACCACCTGCGAAAAAAGGAGAGACTGCTCTCCAGACTCCTGAATAGAAGACTCCTCCTCGGCAGACCACATTGCAAAACACAGCAGAAAAGAGCCTTCAGCACACATCAGTCCATAGCAAAAGGGAAGCACACTTTTTCCCAGTAAAAGAAACATTCTCCAAAAATGTATCCAAAAGTGAATACATCTTCCAATGTCTAGAAGTAGAAGAGCCTCAGGTCTGAGTAAACAGGGAAACATGTTTCCATTGAAAGAACACAATAACTCCCCTCCATCTCTTGAAAAACAGAAAATGTTACCAAAATGTAAGAGAAAGAATTTAGAGCATTCATGGTGACAAAACTCCATTTGTTCGAACAGAAAAGAGACAACAAGCAATAGGAGATTAGGAAGTCCTTCCACTATATGAAAGAAGAAATGGACACTCTAAGAAAGAATCAGATGGAACTATTAGAGATGAAGTCTATAATACAGGAAATAAAAAACTCTCTTGAAACTATTAAAAGTTGATTAGACCCTGCTGAAGATTGAATCTCTGATGTAGAAGATAAAACCTCTGATCTAGAAATAAACACCAAAAAGAGAGAGAAAATAACAAAAAAAAATGTGGATAATATATGAGAAATACTAGACTCCATTAAACATCCAAACATCTGAATAATTGGTATCCTAGAAGGTGAAGAAACTAATAAGAGCATGGAAAATCTATTCCATGCCTTCCTGGAAGAAAATCTCCAAGTCTAGAGAGGCACTCAAACATCCACACCCAAGAAATATAAAGGACTCCCAATAGAATCAACCCAAGAAGATCTTTCCCAAGGCACATCTTAGCCAGACTGGCCAAGACCACAGATAAAGACAAGATAGTAAAACTGGCTAGAGAGAAATGACAGTGACTTACTAAGGTCATCCCATCAAGCTAACACCAGATCTCTCAATAGAAACAATAAAAGCGAGGAAAAAATGGGAAGACATATTGAAAGTGTTAAGAGAGAAACAATTTCAACCAAGATTATTATATTATGCAATATTATTCTTTAAATGGGAAAAAAAGATTAAAATCTTCTCAAACAAAACCTGAAAGAATTTGCCAACACCAAACCAACTCTTTAAGAAACCCTAAAGAGAGCACTGTTCCAGGAAAATGAAAGAATGAACAGCCGGAAATAAAGGAATAAAAGGCAACCAAGGCAATGGCCATCTTAAATGTTGGGGCAAGTCCAGAAATATCGGTAACATTGAATGTTAATGGATTAAATTCTCCAATCAAGAGACACAGGCTGGCTGAATGGATTAAAAACAAAACAAAACACAACACAACAAACAGAAACACTATCTGTTGCCTACAAGAAACGCATCTCATGGATAAAGACACACATAGACTAAAAGTGAAGGGCTGACAAAAGGTTTTCCATGCAAATGGGAACCAAAAAAAAGCTAGGGTAGCCATACTAATTTCTGACAAGATAGGCTTAAAAAAAAAAAAAAAACTGTCTGAAGAGACAAAGAAGGGCACTATATTGTAGTAAAAGGGTTACTCCATGAAGAAGAAGATATAATGCTAATAAATATCTATGCACCTAACACAGAAGCACCCAAATATATGAAGGAAAGACTGTTAGATCTAAAAGGAGAGAGAGACTGCAACACACCAATTGTTAGAGACCTCAACACCCACTATCTCCTCTGGACAGATCATCTAGACAAAAAATAAGTAAAGAGGTAAAGGATTTAAATGATACCATAAACCAAATGGACCTAACAGACGTCTATAGAACTTTCCACCCGAAAACCACGAGATATACTTTTTTCTCACCCCCACATGGAACCTTTTCGAAGATTGACCACATGATAGGGCACAAAGCAAGCCTCTACACATAAGGCATAAAAACTATATCCAGCATCTTCTCTGACCATGATGGAATCAAATTTATTTTTAATTCCAAGAGAAATCCTCAAAAATACACAAATATGTGGAAACTAAATAGCCTACTCCTGAATGACTTCACAACTACTGAAGAAATTAAGACTGAAATAAAAAGATTCATGGAAGCCAATGGCAATGAGGACATGCGTTTCCATAATCTTTGGGACACTGCAAAAGCAGTCATAAGAGGGAAGTTCATAGCAATTAATGCACATAAGAGAAAGACGGAAAGAAGGCAAATGGATCACCTAACATCGTGCCTCAGAGAACTGGAAAAACAACAGCAAAAAAAAAAAAAAAAAAATCCAAAAAACTCCAGGAGAAGAGAAATAGTGAAGATCCGAGCAGAAATAAATGAAATAGAAAATAAATGAACTATACAGAAAAAAAATTTGAAAGTAAAAACTGGTTGTTTGAAAAGATAAAATTGATACACCACTAGCAAGACTTATTAAGAAGAAGAGAAAAAGGAATCAG